TGGGCTTCTCATGTACTGTGTATCTAATAAAATACTTTCCCGTTTACTTTTGCACTGGTTTCCCATTTGTGTGCTGGCACTTTTTGTTGCCTTTTTTCCTCCTGTAAATTAAGTTAATTGCTTTGCTACCAGCATTAAGCAAATGGCTAGTATGTTTTTTTTATTTCCTTTGAAAAGTTGCTAAGCTTTACTGTGCCAAAAATGAATTAATTTATGCTTTACGGTCTAGAATAACCTGGTAAATTGTAGTGTAATTTAATTTTCAGTGTCCCTCAAGCAAATGCTTTGCATTTATTGTGCCCACCTACTCTTGTATAATCTTGGTTGTAAGCTAGTGTTTTAAATTATAGAACAAAATGTTGCTCACTGTGGACTGTTTTTAACACAGGACATTATTTTGAAATATGCACTGGTACACAATGCTCGGAAAATCATAGGTTGTGTATATTGCTGAATAGTCACGATATGCATGTTGTTCAGCAGTGTTTGTACAGATCAGTGGTCAGTTGCTTATCCACTGTCCAGTTCAGTTGCATTTAATTTACAGAGCAGTTCTGAAGGTGGGGATACAATTATAAAGATGGACATCTTATAGCCAAAACTTGAAAAGGTATTGCACTGTGAAAATTTAAATGCAGTGCTTTCCTGTATGACTTTTCTTTTCTTGGAACTGTAGAGATGCAAAGAGTCAAAGTGCAGTCCAGTGAATGTTTGAGATGAGGTTTAATTGGTGATGAAAGGTCACTTCCAGAGAACACTGGAAGAAGATTCATACACATCCCACACAGTGTCTTGAAACTGTTTTATAGTCAATTAACAACCATGGCCACCATCACCAATGTATTGAAATCATAGAAAATACTTCTGCTTGTGGCATAGTGGCTTTTCCTAATGTTATCCTGTTTTTCAGTCATTACTGTGATATGCACACCATTTATTTTGTCATGTACAGCAGGTGTCCATTTTAAAATGCACTCAAGCCATGTCAAGGGTAATAACCCCAGGCCAGTGTCGCATTTCTACAGTTGCTGTTTAACTATTTTTAAAAATTAGTTCTAGCTTTTATTTTCAAGTCCTGCGGTATCGTGGGAGTGGTGTAATTTCCCAAAATTTGAGGGAAGTGAGTTCTGATCTAAAACTTCAAATTGCTTTTTGTAAGATTATGTATGACAAGTTTAAGGTGTTTGTTAAATTTCTCATTTAAACGTGTTACATTTCCAGCATCTCAGTGCAACTCTTCATTTACAAGCATTTTCCATCTGTTAAATCTATAGCACAGCCTTGATGTGTTAAGTCTTAAATGTATTAAGGAATGCAAGTTAAGTTTAATTAGCACTTTTGCTACAGTATCAAAAGGCATTGAATGTCTTCTGGCTGCACAAAGTAAAACTGGTAATTTTAGGAGTTAAACCAATAAAATATTAAATCCAGACATGCATCAAATCCATTGCAACAATGTTGGAGTTTTCTTGTTAAATATGGCTGCTAAATCGGAGGAGAGAGCTTGCTTTGCCTGTGTATCACAACAGTTTGCCATAACTGTGGTTCAAGTTGAGCCAGATGCTCTCCTGTGTATTCTAAAAACCGCATGGTCCAGCTTCTGTAGGAAAATCATCTTATGAAATCTTGTTGTACAAGAAAGGCAGGGTACAGGTATCTAAAGCTTTAAAATGTGTATTGTAGAAAGCATATATACGTTGGCCTTTACAATAACTGGTATAGAATTTGTACGATAAGGCTGAGACTAGAAGCAACACAAGATAGACATTTGGGTAATGGCACCTTTTGTTTTTCAATAAGGTTTTTTTTTAAGTGAAGGTTGTAAAGCAGATGGAGCTGTAATTGAAATTGCTTTTTGAGGTTGATTTTAAAGTGCAGAAGCTTCGTTTTGGAACGTAAGCTCATGGAGACAAATTTCTTTAGCCAGAAATTCGAATTAACTCCATAATTCAGACTTTCTATTTTGTTCAGAGATTTGCATTTGTTTGAGAAAACATTTTGGTTGTTAAACATTACCAAGACTTGGTTTTTATAGCCCGAGTATGGTTAATGAAATGGTTTGAAATTTTATCATGTTTTATCAATGTTTTGTTCTTTAAAATTGTGGTCCACCTGTACATACTCTTTAGTGAAGACTTGTTTCATTCTCTTGATTTGAATTTATGGTTTAATTGTAAATTTTGTTTGTGCTTCAGCCTTTTAAATTTAGTATAAAGTATTTAGGGTTTATCTTAGGTCAAATGTAATGTTTAAATTTGTTGACTATGATTGTATGTTTGTCATAATGCCTCTTTACAGATTTATATTGATAAAACCTAAGCATGCATTTTTATTTGGTATATAAGTTCCCTGCAGGAGTTTTATGGAAAGGATTCTTATTTTTCCTCTGCTGGAATGCATTGAAAATAAAGCTTATACTGCCTTATTTCCCGTATTTTTTAACAATTAAGCTGTCGTTTTTTGATTAAGGTAACCTTTAAGTAGGGCTGGGCGATATGGCCAAAAACATTATCACGATAATTTTCATATGTCGATATCGATAAATATCACGATAAATGTCAAATCATTATTTCTTTCAAATTTAAAAGCAGATTTTTTTTCTCCTGAGTGAAAGTTGAAGAAACCAGACAGTTAACTGGTAAATTAGACAACTCTTTAAGAACACAAACTCTTGCCAAACAGCAGAAACATTAAACAAATCTGCAGTAGAGAGTATTCAAGTCTTTTATGTCAAAATATGCATGAGTAAAATTTACAAAATAAATATCTTAATAGAAAAATTAAATACTGCAGTGTGATAAAAACACACATAGAAGATGGCTCAGATGGACTGCAAAGTTTAAAATGCTCTGTTCGTAAAAAGCCAAAATATCTCCAAATTACCGAAGTTGAATGACTTTTTCTGTCGATGACGTCATCGTCCTTCGAGCTGGTCGTTGGCAGCACTACATTTGCTTCAGTGTCGCTCATTTCTCCACTCTTAACTACAATCCTGTCAACCACCACCATGTGGGTAAATACCACGTTAGCTGCCCGGTCTGCAACACGCAAACGCTGTCGCGCAGTATTGTGTGCGCATGTGCAAAGTTTAAACATATCGAACTTTTGTTAATTATATTGAGGAAAATTATCGCGGTAATTATCGTTATCGAATTATCGCCCAGCACTACCTTTAAGCACATTTAAATTTCTCAGGTTTAAGTAGTTACCCTTGTTTTATGATTGGAATGTGTTATTCCTTAATGTAAACAGACATATTGAAGGTCTTTTGTGTATATGATATATGAACTTGTATATAAGTCTTAAGTGTATGAATGCTGTTAGGATTTTATTATAATATGACAGTAATGTCTAATTGTGGTCTCGTAACACTGGTTTCTGATGGTTTTCAAAGACTACTTTAAGAAGCAGCATCTAAAGAACTGTGAGAATCTGTATTACTGTCTTAACTGCATCAAATAACTAAATGAACTAAATGAAATGAACACCTGGTGATTGCATACCCCTTTAGTATGAAGTGTGACCAGAAGATTAAAGTATATCCTATTTTTATGTGCTAGGATTAGAGATTAGAAAAGACTAAACTCCTGTGTTTCAAGACAACATAAAATATGCAACCATACCTTGTATCAGGAGCTGAGAAGGGAATGGTTTTACTTTGTCCAAAGATGAACAATAGTCATGTACTAAACCTCAACCTGCAGAAGCCACCTACTTCATGTTTCCTGGTAAAAAAGTGATTGCCATCTTAGAAAGCGAAACATGGAAAGATACGGTTTCTTTATAATTAGTCAAATGGTGCTTGGAATTTGAATAAGATTTCACATTAAAAGATTTGGAATTGGTAAGCTCATGGTAGTGCATTTTTATGTTGCTTATTAGACTTTGTTCACAAGTACTGCTTAATACTAGAATTCAAATGCTATTTGAATGTCTAAATTTCTATTTGATAGTTTATGAAATTGCAGTTTCATAAAAGGACTAACATTTTACACTAAAGACTTAGTGTTTGTGAAGTGGCACAATTGAGTGTTTTGTGAATGATGGTCACTCAGCCCAGGTTTTGGATATTTTATTCATTTGAACAAATTTTATATATTGAATCTGTAATGATCTGGAAAATCTTAAGGATTTCAACAGTGAAAACTGCCTCTGGTTTTGGAGATTTTTTTATTGGCATGTTTTGTAAAAATGTATAAGCTAAACAATAGGCTTTCCTTCTCAAATTGCATGTTTAGACTTAATTTTAAGCTTGACACTTTTGAGCAATGGAATATGTATACCATAGGAAGATCATCTAAATGGATGTCATGCTTGTTTTCGTGGTCATCAATTCAGTTAAATTGACACGGTTATTCCAGTGAATTCCAGATTATGAAATGTAATATGACTCATCCAATAACTCAATTTGGCCTCCTCTCCTTTTCTCTTTAAATTTCCAACCAAGTACCTCAAAGAATCATGACTTTTTGTATTGGAAACATTTTATTCCTCTAAACACTTTGATATGTAATAGAACATTTTACTAGTCTCAAATGGTTGTGAAAATTAATCCATTGAAACACATCCAAAAGTAAGTTTCTGAAAAAATAGTCTTAGAGTTCCCAAACCCCAACAAATTTAAGGGGGCAAGATCGTAAACAAAAGTTAATCTGGTCATGCTTCTGCCGTGGTGCGTGTTCAGATTAATAGGATACTAGAAATTTCCTATTATAAATGTCTTATCCCATCATAGGAACAGTATAACATTTGTGTGTTGATAAACAAGGTGTTGGACCTTTTTTCTAAATTAGTGTCCTAAAGCTGAAGAGGCTGGTAATACATTCACGTAGATCTGAGATACAGCAGGCTTGGGGTTCCTGTTTTGGAAACTAGTCACATCTTCAATTTCCTGTAAAATTCACATTAACAGATTTAGTTCTGGGGGAAAATTCTGCATTTCATTTGAAAGTGGGCCAATATTAAAGAACTCGGTCTAAAATTATTTGTTCTATTTGCAGGGCAGAGCCTAGGGTATGGATTTGTGAACTATGTGGACCCTAAAGATGCTGAAAAAGCCATCAATACATTAAATGGCCTGAGACTTCAGACCAAAACAATAAAGGTAAGCCGAGTGCAGATTAATTTGAAAATAGTTGCCTTGTTAGACAAGTTAAACTACCTAGGTGTCTGAGAAACTTACTTCAGCACATTTGACATGTTTTGAGTTTTGTTATAATACAAAATATCCACATTAAGTTGCAAAGGCTTTTACATCTACTATACAGGTAGTATATTACTTTGTCCTTAAAATGCTTAACAATATTTCGTGTTAAAATTTGAAGCAGTCCCCAGAAAACGTAGCCATCTTTTTTTTTGCCCCACTATCATTTCAGTGAACTCCTTAGTTGAAGACATGTTTACTGCAGAACAATTTAATGGAGTTTTATTAACTTAAAAAGATCAGGTTTGTATTGAAGTTCAGTTTTATAATTGGAGACATTTAAATACGAGTATTGAAGCCAGTTGCATTTGTTTCATTTAATGTTTCACTGAATTTGATAAGAACTGTACTTGAGCTGCTTTTATGCATAAAATCAGATATAATATTAAAGGCATATTTGTTCGCAGCAAAAATGGACTAGTTTTACAGAGGCTTCCATACTGCAGAAGAAATACAGTAGTTTAAGTATGTTAAAAGTATTTTAAGGTGCAGTTAGCAGACTGGAATTAGTTAGCCAGAGACGACCTGTTTCTTATCTGGCAGATAGCATCTCCTGCGGCTTGCCAGTTGCCTTCAGGCATAAAAGTAACACTACGTTCCTCTGTTCAAAGCTCTCTCTCCTGTCAGACAGTGGAATTGTGATCTCTCAAATGACAAATGAGTCTGTAGGTTGGTGTGTTGGAAGACATGCTCCTCCAGTTTCAAATTTTATAAATGGGTGATTTTCCATACATACTGTACAAGTCAGAAATAAACTATCCAGTAGTTGCTGGATTTGTGCGAGGTCCAGTCTTATGCTTTTTCTAGAAATTCCATGGCTGATGTACTTGAAGTTGAGAAATGAAACTATGCATCATTTAATTGTATGTTTTGCTTCATTTGAACTTTTTAACTTCCTGGAGGCTTTTTCCAGACCCTTAGTAATGCTAAATAGATACATTAGCTTTTGTAGATTGTTTTTCCTTTCACTGTGAGCTTTAGTGTCTCTTGGCAGGTCTTCACACAAGACAACACAATTGAGTCTAGTAAGTCTGTTAGTCTTCCATAATTAGAGATGTGTGCATTTTCTTAATTTGAATTGCTTGTCAATACCATTTCTTTCTTTTAAGTGATTCTGCGGTAATATTGCATAGCTCCTTAATCTTTGTCAGGGTTTTCAGTGTGTCCTTGATCAGTCAACAGTAGATATGACCAATAACAGCCACTTGCTTTTGGATTCAGATTCATTTTCTTGGAATTGGCAACTTTTCTGTTATATGAATCCTTCGGTTTTTCAATTTTTTTTAGGAGGGAACATTCTGGCAGCTTGCCATTTAAAGCTTGTGTGTACTGTGACATGTCTCGTGTAGAGGGGAAAAATATCTTAAAATATTGGTGGAACACTGTTCTGAAGATGGTACAAAAAGTGAGGCTAAACAGGAGGTTTTAAAGCAAGGTCCAAGTGGATATGGTCCAAGGTTCAAATATGAAACTGCATCAGACCTGTGAAGTTTCAAAACTGGCAAAAAACTATGAAAGTAGTGCATTTCCTAGAGAATCCCATTATAGTTAGAATAGATTGTAGCTTGTAAGAATCTTTGCTTTAGTTTCTGAAGATATTTTGTCTGATGTATGATATGCTGTGGGGACACAAAGGGTTCTTCTTTAAAGGTGGTAATTGGCCTTCATTTAGTTTGAACTGTAGATGTTTAGGAGTGCATATTGATCCCTGACATACTTCCAGTTCTAGTGTTATTCGTCAGCCAGCCAGGAACTTTCTCAGCACCTTTTCTCAAGTCCACAGTGTTGTCAGAGCAGTTTCATTCCACCAGTCTCTCTTCACTCGGTCATGGGCACTGCAGGGCTTTCAGAGCGATTTGGGAATGAGTACCATTGCGTTTTTTGGGTGAAAATGGTGCTTGGTTCTCATTGTTGCAGTGCAGGCATGAGCTTCGTAGCTGTACAGTGATTACAGGTGTAATCCATTCGTTTTTTTAATGTTCTGTAAAATTGGTCAACTCATTGTTAACCTTAAAGTACTTGGAGTTGTTAGGTTACAATCACTGTGGGGTTTTCAGAAGCGGAAGGGGGAATTATGTACTACAGTTGTCATTGGTATAAGAATACTTGATTTCAACAATTAAGCCTTGCTTATGATATGATAGAAATCACTTTTGAGCAAATTTTAAAAGTTGACTTGCTTACATGAACAATGACCCATTAATTCCTCCTTCCCATTGTGGTTGTGCAACCCTATTTTATCTTGGTAAAAGACCTATTCTTTACAAGGTATTGAACAAAATTCAATTTTAGAGTTTAAAATTGACTTAAAATATGAATAGGTGCTACAGTAAATATCCACTTGCTACAGTTGAGAAGTTACATTAAAACAAATAATTGAAGTCATGGTTTGCTTCCATTTTGTATTCTTTATTAACGAAACCAGCTTGGCAATTTGTCATCAAGTTCACAAGTTGTTTCAGCATCCTTACGTGAATGTGAAATTTATAATTTTTACTGAAGTATTTTGCATTTCTGCATAAATTGGATGTCTTCGGTTTTCAGAAAACTGTGCTTGGCCATAGCCTACTTTTAACTGTCAGCAGAATTTGTCGTGTGCAATAATCAGAACTGCTCTTTTAAGGCTGCCATGTGGAGTTTGTATATACATCTGGCAAGTTGTCAAACCCAAATTGGTTTACCTGATGTATGCTTGCTATATTGAGAACCAGTAAAAAATGAGGGATAAGGTTAATTCTTAAAACCCATCCAAAAGGATTGTCTGCTTTCACCCAGAAAAACTGGTAATGGATTTTGTGACCATTTAAAATCCTGAAAGGTATCAAAAGGTTAATCAGGGGACTATTTCGGAACCAATTGAGGCTAGGATTTGAGGACATTGGTAAAAATTGAGTGTGTATTTGACTGCAAACAGCAGAGATTTATATGAAGACAAGTTATGCATCTTCAATGCAAGCAGGGTGGTCTTGTTTGGTTTGTAAACTGTTACAATGAGCATTTAATTTGTTCCCTCTCTATCATGCCTTAAAAGGTGAAAACCATTTACTTGCTGTACTCAATATAAAGCTGTTTTGTCTTATTTGATTAACACGTTCATTGCAGATGTTGCATTCATGTATCTGACTATATAAACCTCTAATTAGCTGCCTGTAAATTTGTGTTTACGGTAGGAAGAGATTATAATCAAGACTTTAATGCACTGAATGAGTGGCCATTTAGAACAAAGGGCACCATACTACACATTCTCAAGATGCATGTCAGAAGTGTAAATAAACCTGCAAGGTGGTAAAAAGCATTTTGCAAATTTTAGCATCAAGTGAAGTGTGAAGGTGAGGTAAAAAACAATTTCACCTTGGCTTTCTTCCCTCCAGTCCAGATACTTAGGGGGAGGGGTGTCTATTGATCTGGTTACAGCTAAAGGGATCTTACTTGGAGGTTTAATTAAAGCAAGTGAAATGTATTGATACTATCAATCAGAAGGGATTGTTCAGAAGGCCACTGTGCGGAACCATTTAGCAATCTTGACACTGCAATTAAATTATCTCTGCACTGCATTTTGTAGATAAAATAAGGCAGTGTTGTAGACCTGAATCCGTCAAACAGCAAGATATCTTTAGCCAGTTAGAAAATAAGAATCTCAAGCTGCAGGAGCCTGGAACAAACCAAAAAGTTCTGCATAATATTTTCATTTTTCTCTGTTGCTTACATTTAGTATTTTCTCATTTTCTGAAAGTCATTTGACGAGGAACAGTGGTATAGGATACTGCTTTGTCAACCCTTTTTCAATGTCAAAAGATCACATTAAAGCAAGAGAGTATTAATGAAAACGCAGTATGTATTTTTTTTTACAGAGCTGTACAGCTGCAAAGCATATGTATTGTGTGGTATATGAGCTTGGGGTGCTTTGACATTAAATGTATGCCTTTCAGAACAAGTAGAATTCATTATCTTCCTGTAGAAAATGATTGTTGCCTCATCAGTAGATACTTTGTAAATTGGTAATGGTTATAAAGTCAATCCAAGTGTTTTTTTTGTAACTCCCTATTAAGACCACAAGCAGAAGGCATGTAGTGCAAATTGAAGCTGAATTCAGGACTGAGCAGGAGAGGTGCTTAATGCAAAGGGCTGTGGGTGTATAGTACAAAATTAGTTCACAATGTATGCTGAAACAGCAGGAGTTTTCTGAGGTCTTAATAGGGTTCTTTGGTCATGATGTTGCTAACAGCTGGAAGTGCGGAATATTCTGTTCTTGCATATCCTCGTATCGAGTTCAACAGTCTTTGGACTTGAATCCTGTGGAGCCTTAAAGCCATTGTCCCAAAGACCCCAGCATCTCCTGATATTCAGTGCAAAGTTGGAATGAATTATTCTGGTCTTTAACTTGTAGCAGCTTTCAGCTTAGCTATACAAAATCCATAATGTGAAGCTGGCAAATTATATTTTAGAATTGGTAAATACATTAACCTGGTGAAATGGGAAACCTCAACAAATGGACACTGCAGAAGGCAGGCTTGTGAAGTCCAGTTTCTGAATTCTTTGCTTTTTTTTTGCAATTATATACCTCTCTTTGGATGTAAAACTGTTTTTATCAACCATTCTCTGTATAGTATATTTATACAGTAACTATCCTTAAGAAGGTCTTTGTACACAAATTCCAAATAAAAAGTATACAAGTCAGAATATTTTACCTTAAAGAGCAGCACAACTAAATTTTGCATACCCCAGAGTATGGAAGCATAAGGGCATGCAAAGGTATTTGTACAAGCCCAGAACCCAACAAGTCCAATCACCATTCCTAAATATAAAAGATTTGTATGGGGGAAAAAGGTCTCTAAGGCTCAACTTGCAGCACTAGATAGCAGGCATTGCACAAGGGTTGCATTAATAGCATGGGGAAACTACTAATTATTTTAATCAATATTGTTTTACCATTTGAAGTGAAAATAACATTGATAAAGATCATCAAAATCCTGAGATTTTTACAATAGTCTTTCTAGATTCAGTTTTGGGGATAATTCCAGTGTTTGGAATTGGCTTTGGTATTTAAGTTTTATGCAGTTCTGATCTAGTAGTGAGGTGGTCAGTCACAACTGTTAAAGCTGTTAAGGTATTTGGTAAGCCGATGCCTTATTTAGTTTTATTACATTTAGTTATAAATTACCCCAACTATAACAATCCATTAATCAAAAATAAGCTTTTCTGTATTGGTTTGGGTACAGTATATAACGGAGGCTAAGGTTTGTCACAGAGCAATTTATATTGTTTGGATGATCTGATCAGATGTACTGTATGCAAGTTGAAATAAAACCATTAAAAGATTGAGATGATTTTGTGTTGGACTATATTTTAGACATCAGATTTATGGAACTGTCCGATTCCAACTGATCAGATCATGGGCAGTTCATGTTTGCTGTAAAGATGAATTGGACGGAATAATGATTGTGGTGGTTTCAAATTGAAATGAAGAGATTTGCTAAACTGCAGTTTAACAGTTAATAGTTTGAGAACTAGGGCGCTCTGGGGAGGTGTGATCTCAGCATGGCTCCTGTACAGTGGAAAAAAGACCAAAGTGGGGTGGAGGAAAGGCTGTAAGTACTGTAGTTTTAGCTTGGTTGACTTGCTTGACTGTTTTGTTACTCTGGAGTTGCCACTGCTTTCATCTCCAGTTTTGTTACTATATAGTGCTGAACAGATGCATCAAGAACAGTTTTTAATCCAGGAATTTTACATCCAGATTTATTTCAACCTTTCTATGCATGGATGGTTGAGCAGAATTTCTAGATTTAAACTGCAAAAAGATTGTCAAAATAGAATATTCTGTGTATACTAGCAGGGTTTAGTATAATTCTGTTGTAGACCTGCATTCTGCATTTGTTTTTAAAATACCCAGTTCACATCCTTATTTTGAAGAAAATTCATTTAATCCTGCAGTGTATTGACTAATTACTAATTTTGAGAATTCACACCAATCATGCAATGCATTTCTCTTATACTGTATAAGGAGCATTGGGTTAAAAATACAGGTTTGTTCTACAGTATACAGATCCTGCCTTTTCATGTGGGCTTTATAAGGTAAATCTCATGTCCTGCGAAGAATTGCATTTTCATTTTCTGTTGTCTTTTTTTGTCATCCTGTTAGTGTTCACAAATAAATGAGGACACTTGTATTTGAACATCCTCTTTTGTGTAATTTAATTTCAATGCCTGACCTTCCTGAATAAACATACTTCCTGGCAGCATAAATGCCGATTTGTGGTCTACCACATGAACTCCAGAAATAAAGTATTTTTTTAACTACCTAGATAATAGGTTTAATTTTCTTTTATTTATGAATCAGATTGTTTATGAGGATTTCGACAACATTGGCTGGTCTGCCGATGACAAGGCAACTGTTCAGTTTAGTGAATCCGTACGCATCAAATATGGAAGTTTACGTCCATGTGCCTTCTACTAACATCCGTCCCCACAATTATTTGCAGAATGGAAGTGTAACACAAGGGTAATTTAGTAAAAACTAAGCTAAAAATCTAAAGATTTATTTTCATTGTAAAATGTTCTTTTCAGAATATAACCTGTAGATGCAGTAGGTTAAAAGGCTTAGGATCTGAGTGAATTAAATACAGGGTGTGCCGTCTTCATACAAGAAAATAGAAATGGGGATTAGAACAGAGGTCCCTTTGACAGGCTCTCCCATGACTGGAAAGCACTCTTCCCCAGGGTGTTGCTGCCAATAGTATGAAGGAATAAATGGAAGGGAGTGGGCTTCTTAGACGAGAGAGGGACCCCAGCCCTTTTGTGAAATATGTTAGATCTCTGGGGTTCCCTCCACTACTTCTAAAGGGTGTCATTACCAATGCCTGCTGAAAGGGGCAGTTCCTGTGGCAGCAGCCTGCTCCATTGGCTGCTCTCTCTAGCTCCCAAGATGGCCATCACCCAGACAAGTGAACCAGCTGAGAACACAAACATACGAACAGGCCAGTATAACATGATTGTAAATTCCCCTCATCTGTTTTGACTGAAAGGCAAAAGCACAAGTGTTGCTTTCTTTTATATAGTCTTTTTAGAAATGGCTATTTATGGGTTTGAAAACTGTATAAAGTAGTTTCATTCACCTCACTCTATGAAAGCTGAGATGTATGATCAGTTGAAAATATTTAAGGCTTTACCCTTTATCTTTTGAAGTTTTCACTGCACAGGTGCAAAATGTGATCATTTTTTACTGTTTTCTAGGGAGATAGAGTAGTGGTGTTGACTGGATTACAAACATGTTTGCAAGGGTTTCAACCTTTTTTTAATAGCTTATCTTGTAAATCCTTAATTTGTTGTTGTATTGGACAGTGTGTTTTAAAGTGCAGAATTCCATTTTCTGCTCAGTGCAAATATTCACCGCAGTGTGTGACATCAGTCTGTTGCCATGTATCACAGCCAGTTCTTCCCTGGCTAGTCCTGGCAATTGTTTGGTTTATTTTGCTTTTCTGTTCCCAGTTCTTCAGAAAGTGGCACAGTCTGGGTTTAGGCCAGTTGTGTCCGAGCTGTAGCTTCTATCTAGCAGTCTAGGATGAAACCTCTCAAGGTTTATCTTGGCACAGTGTAGGATTTGAGATCTCTTTGGCAGTGAAGATGTTCAACTTCTTGTTGAAGTTGCCTTCTAAATTGCTGTGGCTGTAGAAATGAGCTTAGTGGTGGATTTTAAAAACTCGCACTGTACTCTGATCAAGGATGCAAAAGTTGTAGAAGGAAATGCAAACTATTCCTAAACAATAATTTGAAGCAATCTATTTAAAAAAAAAAACAATGCATCTGGTCTTTCGGTTCTGAATTTCCCAATGGTGACTTATAGTCATTGCTGAAGAGTGATATTCTAAATGTATAAAACATGTAGCATATGAAAGATGCTAAGGGTTTTCATTTGCTGATGACTTTATCTACAGTCTTTTAAGTCCCCATTTTGTGATCGGTAAGCGCTAAAAATGATCCTTGTTTAATTTCTTCTGCTTTAGGTGTCCTATGCCCGTCCAAGCTCAGCTTCCATAAGAGATGCAAATCTGTACGTCAGTGGACTGCCAAAAACTATGACTCAGAAAGAACTAGAGCAGCTTTTTTCTCAGTATGGACGCATCATTACCTCTCGTATTCTGGTGGACCAAATGACTGGTGAGTAGGCAGCACGGTGCTGTCTTTTTCACTTTCTCCGATTGGCAGCTAGAGTAAAATTCTGCTTTCCAATGAAGTATTCTTGCCTCCAGAATATATCAAAGGTTGTGATATGTGGTTTTGAAAATGCAATTTTCTGCTGGAAATGTTCATAAATATGCATAGATGGAAATAGATTGCAGAATGTGGAGCCAGACTTGGTAATTCCCCCCACCCCCCTGAAGGTACGGGTTTAATGCCTGTTTCACGGCGAGTAATAAAATAAATCTACAGCTGCTATAATCTCCATTTCCAAGCTGCTATGTGAAAATGGAGTCCCGGTGCTCCTTATAAAATGCTAATAAACAGAATCTCTTTATAAAAAGAATGAATTTTTTGCAGAAATGTACAGTATGTTCTCTGAGGCGAGGATTATGGACAAGGCTCAGACTGGTAATTGCTGCTAAGGCAATTTTCAGGTTGTTTTATTTGAGAAAGGCATGCCTGTAGGCTAGGTTTCTCATGCTGAGTTATGTTGTTGGAGGAATGTTGAATTCTGCCTTTATTTAAAATGATTCCTCAGGTTTTCTAAGTGTACCTACGTGAAGTGTCAAATTCAACCCATACCGTACATATTAGCTGTTGAAAAATGTTCTTGGATAGTACTGCTTGGGCCATGGTTAAAAAAAATCAGTGTTTTAGTTTAGAATTTCAGGCTCTTTATGTATAACTGTAAAATACAAGCTACTGTGTTATGCTTGTATATTGCTTACACTATAGCGATTATATGCAGGAAAAAACCGCATCATACTGTAAGTCACTAGGCAGAACTTCTGCATTCATTTTAATTAGGCTCTTCAATCTTTCACACTTTCACTGGGGATATCTGTTAACATTGAAGTTGGATTAGAAACTGGACTTGACATTCTCTGATTTCTCATGCAAGCAAAAATATAAGGGTTCTCCAACTTTTTTCCCCCCTGTAAAGATGAGTAAAACATTTTTTCTGCAGGTGTATTTGGAAGCACTTTTGGTTAGATGCATTGTCGTGATACATGTACACTGTATGATGTACTTCGAAGCATACAGTGCCATGAAGGTACTGTAAATATCTCCTTCCAGTATTTTTAGTTGAAATACAAATGTAAACATTTTGTGAATGTTTGATTAAAACTTGATCAAACTGGACGCTTAAGGTGGGAGGTAAAATTTAAAAACCCAGAATGTTGATGGCAAAACTAACCTCCACCAAATAATACTGTTTGAATGCTGTTGAGCCTTTTATGGTCTTTGGATAAGTCTACCAACTTTGCACACCGGTGTGGTTCACTTTTCACATCTTTGCAAATTTGCTTAAGGCCTACCAAGCTGTTTAATTGAGAATAAGTTTGAAAACGTATTTATGCACCTTTTATTACAGAAATACACTTGGTTCAAGCAGAACCTCCAGTGTTGGTATATGAGAAAACTCCCATTTGAAACTTTTGTGATGCTATTTGGAGTGCTGATGCAGTTAAGAATGGGTGCAATTAGGACCCCTATATGCAATTTACTGCATAAATTGTGTATATAGAAAAAACTGAAGAAAATGGCAAATTTATATTGGAATATTGGAGTTCATTACCAAGAATGTAAGAGGGCTTTCACTAGTTCTCAACAGCCAAGCTGAAATTAAACCCAGTATCATAACCAACAGCAGTGCTTCACTAGTACCTGAGGATTCATTCTTAAATTTAATGTGCAGTGTACCCTGCACATTCTTCTACTGGGTAGCAAAATCCCACAAGGATGAGTTGTTGCATTTTAAAAGGACCTTACTAAATTCAAAAGTGAGTGATATTTGTCTGCAGTCTCAGCATTTATTTAAATGGAAATTGTTGCAGCTTGTATACCTAACTGTAGAGAAAGTTAAGTATATAAAGGTTACAAGATGAGGTTATTAGAGTATGTTAAGGAATCCAAAAGTGCTTAAAAACACCTGTGTACCAATGCTAGAAAAGTTGTTTAATGATGTGGATAAACTGCACTTGGATTTACCCACAGTTACTCTTTAGAGATACTCTTTATATTTTGGCTTGTTTTTAGCCATTTTATAGAAAGCTTTGATGCTTTGCTCTTCTGTGCTGAGCCCCGTTTGTTGCTTATACAATGAAGTTGGCTTGTAGCAAGTCTACGTATTCTTATTCAAATAATATGCATTAATCACTGTATGACTGCATTGAATTTGTCATGAAAGGATACTGGGGAAAATATTACCTAGCTGTACCTACAGCTGTTGTAGTTTTCAGATGTTTCTTTTTTCACAACAGAATTAATCTTGACCACAGGCCGAGCTACCAATACTAGCCATTTCTGTTGGCATCTATGGAATAAAAGGAGGAAAGACTAGATATGCTGACCCCCACCCTTCCAGTCCCAGCGATACACTGGGGGTTCTGTGACTCTCCTACAGGCTCTCCACTGTATTTTAACTAGAGCAGTCTGAATTTGAAATGGCAATTTCCAATCTCTTATTGTTACAGGAGAACCTTTTAGCTTGGTAGAATATCTGAAAGCTCTGACAGTACAGCTTTGTTCAATTGTTTTACTTTCAGTTATAAGCAACATTTTTTCCTAGTTATGAATAGGCAGAAATGAACATTTTTACCCCCAGCAGAAATGTAAAATGATTGAATTTTTTGGTAACATCGTTTAAGGAAATTTTATAAATATTTTTTTTTAAATGGAATTTTGTACACCCCATAAACAATTTTGAATTAGCATAGCTTTTTGGTCAGTGGGTTGAAATTCCAAATTAACGTTTTCCCACCTCTCCTGATGGATTTTATTTCTTAGGGGTCTCCAGAGGGGTTGGTTTCATTCGATTTGATCGAAGAATTGAAGCAGAAGAGGCCATTAAGGGTCTTAATGGTCAGAAGCCACCAGGTGCCACAGAACCAATCACAGTCAAGTTTGCAAACAACCCAAGCCAGAAAACCAGCCAGGCTTTGCTCTCACAGCTGTACCAGTCCCCAAATAGAAGGTACCCAGGACCCCTGGCACAGCAGGCTCAGCGGTTCAGGTAAGGCCTTGCTCTTATTGCCGCACGTGATGGTTAAATGTATTTCAGTATGACTACTCTAAATCAAACCTGATGTCAGACTGGATGTTAGCAGCCTTTTTCTTCCAGACCAGAAGTGAAAAGCTTGTTCTTCATAATACTATGAAGTGCTCCTCTCCAGACCGCATTCCTAGTACTGTTTTGAATAACAGTATTGTATGTTTTTTTCAATTTTATTATTATATTCAATATAGCTACTGTAAGTAGTTCAGCTACCATTTCATTAAGAAGTGTTAAAATGGGGCATTTTCCTCCACTGAAATATAATTTATGTAAGGAAGAGGGGAATGTATTTAAACAGTTTCAATTTGAAACATAACTTATATATAGACTAAAAGTGAGATGCAGTAGGAGGGTAAAGTGCTGTTAAGGATGGTTCAAAAGTTCAATTTTAAATTGGGAATCAAACTTAACAATTCAAAACCTTTTAAGGTTAATGCGATAGGCAGCTGTCTTTTCTCTGGTTAATAAACCATTTGACAATGTTTAATCATGAATGTTACACGTGTATTATGCCTTTACTTTTTAGGAGAATAAAAATTCCAAAACACGTTATGGCAACAGACTATTCAATTTATGCATACATGGAACGAGGCCATGGATCTCCAGCTCTGTTTCTGGGGGGGGAACCTAAACTTGACATTAAAAAAAAAATTAAAATGCTTATGGTTGGCTTAGATGTGCTTTGGAAGATAAAAGCTACTTGTGTAAGGAATTTTTAAAGTAGGTGAATTTAAATTATAATCTGTGTCATGTCTGTATAGTCAGTGGAAAGACACTACCTCATAGATTCATAGATTACATTTCAGTCATTTGCCATCTCAACACATTTTCGCATTTTTTTCCCCAAATGCGCTACGGTTCAAAATTCATTCGGAAATTGATTTGTAAAATCTACTGAAAAGGGGGGCCTTTAATGCTGTGGTCAGACCCAGAGGACTCTACCCATATGATGTAGCCCTAGGAATATTTTGCAGATGTGCATAGCATCATTTAAGTGCAGCCACTGAGTATGTAGTGAACAATATTAAAAATGTGCAATAAGTTATTAGATTGACTAATTGGTACTTGAGTCCCAGAACACATTGCAAAAATTGTACAATTTGTTTTTGTGAAATGGTATACTAGAAAAGGTTATCAGAACTGCTTATTCATATGTAACTTATTTCATGAAAATTCAAAATTTATCAGTATGATAAGTATTCCCAGATGTATATTTTTTTGCATGAGGTTTATGATCCTTGATAGCTAATTATGTTATGCGGGGAGCAAGGTTGTAAATAAAATCATAGATTTTAAAATCCACAGCTCTGAAAGTTGCTTTTAGTTTATTTAAAAATATGAATTAACTTATTTTGTAATGTGCATCATGCATTCAAAATCTGTGCAAAGCCTTAGATTATTTTTGTATATGTGCTTTCAACTGCCAAGTAGTGGACTGAAATGTACAGTAAATGACCGTGTCCAGAAAATTGTAATTGGCTGCTATAGCAGTTGCTCAACGTGTGGTGTTCAAAGAGACTGATGAAGACCAGAAGAGACCAGTCAGGTTTTGTATGGAATGAGGTAAAATTGCGTGGCACCTTGCTTCAGGGGCTATCATTAGTTTTATCCAGCCAAAATTTTGTAGCCCAACTGGTTCTGATGCATTTAAGTACACTAACATTGGAGGAAATTCAGTATACTATGGAACTTACGAAAGGTCATCCTGTTCATCAGAAAGTAAAAGAATGGAAGGCTTGTATTTTTCTAGGTCAAGGGAGGCAAGAAAACCTAAACTGATTAGAGAGCCATTTTACTAGTTGTAGAATTGTTCTATTGTATTAGTTTGACTAATAAAATGCCATGTTACATGACGGTAAAGACATTTATAGCTGGGTGCAAAGCAGGTTAACTTAATTTTTTTAAATCTGGTTCTAAGAGCCTATAATACAGTGGTATAGATGTGCTGTGTTGTATTCATAGGTATTACCTTTAAGTTTCACTAGAATATACCTTAAAATTGGAGAGTTGTGCTTCTAAAGACTCCATTGCATTCTTCTGAAGGTTTTGCTGCTGTTCTGATTTCAAAATAGGCCATAATTTTAGAACTCGGTATACCACTAATTATAACTTATTGAATTACAACAGCAGCACAGATTGAAGTAAACTATAAATGGTTTCAAACCTCCTGGGGGGTTAAGTCTTGTCACCCAAGCTTGCTCACTAAGGTGGTCTAGATGGTTATATAACTGGAATGCTTCTTATGAGGCTCTAAGATGTTTTCTAGGTAAGTCTTCAAAGATGTGGATGGTTTTAGTAATCAACTTGAGAAAGTTAATCTGATATCCAGCTAACAAATTAGGTTGATAAAGTGCTCACTTTGGAATAAAAAGCAGAACACCTTGGTGCTCCAGACTATGGGTTTTCAAGTCCTGTGCTGTAAATTCTTCACCCATTGAGTTCAGTTGTATTCCTGGTGTGATTTTGTTAATACTGTCTTTTTGTTTTGTTGTAGGTTGGACAATCTTCTTAACATGGCTTATGGAGTGAAGAGGTAATTACAAAATCCTGCTTTTATGTGATACCTGAATGTTTGAAAGCGAAGTGTCAGGCATAAAGGAACAAGTACTGTAGAGGCTAATTCCACCCTAAAAAATAGAAAACTGGCTGTGGAGTTTGAAGTATAATAGCAGATGGATGAACTGGTAGCCAAACTGCTACATTTCACTGTTAAATGCAGCTCACACTGACACAGCTGCCTACTTTAAGATAACTTTGTCCATCCAATCTGGTGATGCCAAAGACAAATTTCTACCCCCTAAAACTGTAGCAAAAATAAATACACATTAAAAACATCAGTTGCCTTTCAGGTAGGACTTTTGATCTTTATTGCACCTATGATTTTGGTCAATTTAAAACTGTACAGTGTGGAAATAAAGTAGTGGTTTATTTAATGATTCCTATCCTGAATCTAAATCTAGAAATCTGTCAATCTTGCACTTATTAAAATAGTGCAAGATGTTGTTTTCTTCTTTCTAAATGGTTTCCCCCTTTTTTTTGGAGAAGTCAAGATACTGCATGATCAATTAATAAGACATAAAGGTAAAAAGCGTGTATATTTTTATAAGGCATTGCAGAAATGTATGAACATGGTTTCTCTACAATAAGGCTGTAATTATAATGCCTAATTATCTAAACAGCTCTGAGGTGTTTAGTTTATAACATTTGGATCCATGAATACTCAACTAAATATAACATGATGCTGGGATAATACTAACATCTAGAAAGTTAAACAAGGCAGAAAATAAGGTATCTGAACGTGATAAACTCCTTAAAGTATAAGATGACTTCTTGAGAAATGCACTCTGTGCTTGACCTCGATTTAGAAAAACAAATAAGATTCCTATATAGATATGAATTAGATTCTTGTAAGGTATAGAAATTGAACTTGTTGGATGTTTATCTTAAGACCTAGAACTAATAACTCAGAGCTTATAGAAGAACTGGGCAAAGCACTAACTGTTGTGAATCGTGGAAAATTGATAGCTGATTAGTGCATCACTGGATAATATCGATCAGTTCTATCATAAACCTTTTGCCAAAATCTAGACAATCTGAGTTTTTTTTGCAATGAACTCCCTAAAATGAACATGGCAATTTAAAATAGTGGCCTGGTATTAAGTCGACCAGCTGTCAAAACGTTAAGGCTTATTCCTGTGGACAAAAAAACTTTGCTAGACATTTGTTCACTAATTGTACTGCTTAAGCCATTTCATCTGCATAACTTGATGTTACAGAAAACATTGTGTGGTGCCAGCTGCATCCAGCTGCATTTTTAGAATGCATTTTAAACTGGCTTAAAATTCTCATGCATTTAGGTCTATTAATATTAGCACTCAGATCCCACGGTGCAATTGCAACTGTACACATGCAAACCCATTTACTTTAAGGCTAAAAGCAATAGAAATATTTCAAATCTTTTTTTTAACATAAACATCTCTTGTAGCCCATTCTAAATGGGTTCAAATGTTTTCTTGTTACATTTGACATTGTGGACAAGAAAGATGATTGAACTTGAGCAAGATAGCTCTGCCAGAATAAAAAATGACAAAACTTCTAGTATTTGTAAATTTCTGAGACTAGATCTATCCTTTATCACTTCTGTCTCCTTCATTCTTGTAGTTTAGTTACCAGCCTTTAGAAAGCCATTCAATTAATCTACAAAAACATGATGATACTTCTATGTCCATTAAATTAGGTCTGAAGTGTTAGCTACTCATTAAGTGGCCCAAATATTAAGCTTCAGAACATTAAATGGTTTTCAATTTTGAAAGACTGATTACTAGTTCTGGGTGCCATCCAGATTAAGTTAATTTCTTGGCAATATTGCAGAGTAAAATAATTATGTATCCCTTTAGCAGTCACTCCCTACAATATTAGCTTCTTTTGTGGCTCTGTGAATGTGGCCTCTACAAACAGCACAAACAATAACTGTCAATGCCTTAATTTGTGCTGTTAAAAGTAGCATTTGTGCTGCTTTCATTTGAGATACAAGGAATTGTTTTAGAAGATGTCACTCAGCTCCTTTATTTTCATGGCACAGGAGAACCAAGCCAGTCTGTACCATTCAAACATGCCATTAAATGTAGCTTTTGTGCTGTTTTGCATTCTGGAATTAGGGTTTTATTTTTGCATGGGGGAGATATGGCGTTGCTTAACCTGTGAAGTTAGTGTCCAGATGACCTTTGTGCAATTGAAACTGGCATTTATTCTGCTTTGATTTGAGATCTTAGCAGCCTGTCCAACCTAATACCCTTGTTTACTGTCAGTTGGTGTTTTCTACCATTGTATACCCTTTCAGTATTAGCTTTCTGCAATTACCTTTTTTCTTTGAGATCTTATTCTCAAGCTCTTTTTAATATGTACTGTACAGAATGTTTGTTTCTGATGTGTGCTTCAAAGCAGTAGTTGACACCATCATGAAGCATGATGGACGTTATATATATATAGGGCAGAAAGGTATCAGCTCTGCAATAAGCCGCCTTGCGCCAAAACTTTAATTTCATGATTCAGTGATCTACAAGCTCTAAGATGGAAGGAACTTAATAGCACTGACTTTTGTGCAGTGCGGCCAGGCATTTCCGTTGTGGTTATAGATGTACTGTAGATAGTGCTTCAGGACTGTCGGGATGATAAAATCAATCTAAACAGGCATAAGTGCACAAAGAAATATAAAATGAACTATTGGCTATCTCGGAAGGAAAACGGTACTTTTAAAAGTACTCACATAGCAGAAACTTGGAGTACCTGGTTTGGATCTCCTTCCCAGTTGTATGGGAGCTGAATGACACAAATGCAAAAAAAAAAGCTGCATGAATGCTACTTTTTAATGGCACAAAAATGAAATGGGAAATACTTTTTTTGTAAGGGAGCCAACTTTACAGAGCTCTTTTTTATAGCTATTTAATATTGAAAAGCTGTCCAGTATGATCATACAATGTGACTGGATGTGCTTTTAACTTTATTCTACAAAGCTCATAGCTAAGGTGTGCTTGTTAAGATCAGTTAAGATTTAGAAAATATTTTTAAAAATGTGCTGTTACTGATTTTCCTGATTTACCATTAACCACTCTGAAACTGGAAAGTAGCATTAATGCATATACCTAAGAATTTGTTTGTACAGGCCTTTCATGAAACATTTGCAGGTTGGTGTAGGTTCACTAGTTTTTGTTTAGATTTACCTATATATTTGCTTTTCAGCAAAATAAGCTATATAGATGGAAATAAGACTGTCCAAGGGCATTGCATTGATAGAGCAGTTTTAGCAATCACAAATAGAACAGTACATAAATACACATGTGACAAACTCAACTGGAGCTGTCAATGAAGGTTTCTTTAAACTTCCTTCTTTGGCCTGATATGTAATGGGTAAATGTACATCCCTTGTGCTGTGGTTGGCAGAAGCTTAGAAAAATCCAATTCTTGATGACTTGGCAGATCCTTCAATTTTTGCAATTTTAGCTTTGGGGAAAAAATGTTGCCTAGAGCAACTGTTGGGTATTAGAAGAAACCAGCATACGCGTATGATCAATTGTGACTTTCCTCATACAGTAGTAAATCTAGAGTTGCTATCCGTCAAGGGTTGTTTCATCAGAATGGCACCTTGTTTCCAAACTACATTCTGAACCGCAGAAGCCTTCCTGGTGACATGTAGGATTCCTTCTGGTACTGTTGGGAGGTGTTTACATGAAACAGTAATTTGTCCATGTTGAATTGATAAGTGACCATACTTGGGTGGAAGCCAGACATGACTCCCTTGGGTTAATCAGGGTTCTAAATCCTATCTCTGAGACATTGATTAGGTTTGTACTTTTTCTAGACAACCTCACAGACCTTAGCAAGAGTTTATCAAGCATGGAAAGGCATTTTCTAATGTAAAAACATCTCATTTAATGAAAGTGTTACAAAGAATGTGAATAGCCAATATTGAAATTTAATCTAATCTTTTGCTTTTTGTGCATTTTCTGAGTAAAGGGATGTTACATTTTTTAATTAGTCATTGAAATTGTCTAATGTAGTAATCTACATTGGAAAATGTTTTTCTTCTAGAGATTATCTTGAAGGATACTTTTCTTCCAGTTTAGCTTTTGTTATACAAATTACTATTGTTTTAAAAAGATGGTGTAGCAATTCTTTCTTTGAACTGGTACAACATGGTTAATTACTGTACCTTATTTTTGTTGTGATTCTCTGCCCACTCTGTACAGAACATGTTAGTTGTGCAGCAAGAAATGTCTGATCTTGGAAGCTAAGCAGTGTTGAGTGTGCACAGTGCGAGACTGTCATTAACAGTGTTCATTTCTCGACTGGGGCCTTTCTGCACATGATGCTGCCAGATCTTGATGTCAATGCCAAACGGCATTAAGGCCACCTCATAGAGGGTTTGTAATCCTCCCCCCTGCCTTTGCCTTTGAAGGGCTGTCTTCGCTATTTTTGTACATTTCAGTTACAGGACTCTTTTCTCTTTTTACCACCTTTCCTCACTTCTGAAACAAACACTATTTGGCTTTCATTATTTGCAGTCATCTTTTCATGCTCATCAGGTTTTTGTTTTTAAAGAGTTGCTTCTTGGGTAATAAGTGATGTTTAGTTCCCATACTGTTGCGCTGTATCAAAATCTATTAATTGCTGTGTGTCCTGGGAAAACCGTTACCTAGGTATGTTGCTTGACTGCTTTGCAAAGCAGTTTAAGTCATTGAATCATTTAACAGTAATTTCTTAAAGCAGTTTATCTTTAATGATTCAACTGTCACAGCCAGGTTCACAGTGCAGTATAATCAGTTTTTCAGTACTTTTTTTTTACGGTGGTAACACTAGGTTTGTTCTTTTGTATTGCAGCAGGTTTTCTCCCATGACCATTGACGGAGTAACCAGCCTGGCCGGAATCAACATCCCAGGACATGCAGGGACAGGGTGGTGCATCTTTGTTTATAACCTGGCTCCTGATGCCGACGAGAGCATCCTGTGGCAGATGTTTGGACCTTTTGGCGCTGTAACCAACGTGAAAGTCATTCGTGACTTCAACACAAACAAGTGCAAGGGTTTTGGATTTGTCACCATGACAAACTATGACGAAGCTGCAATGGCCATTGCCAGCCTGAATGGATATCGGCTCGGGGACAGAGTATTGCAAGTTTCATTTAAAACCAACAAAACGCACAAAGCCTAATGTCTCCTCAGTTTTCTTTATACAAAAAATATAAAGGTTAACGTAAACTTTATACATTAGTAAAAAGTCTTTGTAAGTCAGTGTTATGAAGGGAAACAAATGAATATTTAGCGTCCAACAAGTGTGATTTTTTTTTTTATTGCTAGTCTTTGACTCAACTTCTTAAATATCCTTTATGTTTAAATAGAGAAAATTCAGCAGGTTTTTTACCTGACATGTTGCATTCTGATGCCTTCTTTAAAGAAGGACCTTTTAAAATGTTTCAGCTAAAGTATTTTTTTTGTTACATATCTGCTTTGAAAGAGTAAGTCTTGTAAGGCTTTGTGTAGTGATTTACTTTGTGTTTTTTCTGTGTCTTCATTTGCCTTTGGTGCTTTTGCCCTTAAGTGAGTAACAGAAGATATTTTCAATTCAGACTCATTTTTGTTTACATATTTATTTTGTAAAGCTATTTTTGGTTGTTGTATTTTGAGTAGGGATATGGGTGGGCTGCATAATATTGCTTATTGTAAGATTACTGGAAAACACTTTTCTTAAAGCAGTACCTTGCCAAAGAGCTAAGAACCTCTTTGATGTGGGTTTAAAAAAATCTATTTTTATAAAAAAGAAAAATTTGGAGAAACTTTTTACTGGACCTGGAACAAATATTTTGACTTGGATACTTTGAGAAATATCTTCATATGACACCTTGTGAGCTTTTGAACCTTACCAGGAAGTTTGCAATGATTGGGATTTCTGGAGAGATTTATGCTGTAAACGATTACCTTTTGAGATCTTTGTATTAACTTAAGATTCTAGAATAAGTGGCAGTGTTGGTTTCATTTGTATAATCATCATTGGAATGTCAGATCATCCTGGTTGTAATGTGACAAGCAGCTCACATTCAGTTATTTTGAAATACAAATCTTTAAAAAAAAAAATTACCAAGGTTACTTTAGCAAAAAAAGCATGCAAATTATAAAGTGAAAATACTTAAAAGGTTTTTTGGGGAAAATAAATCAGTTCTTCCTAATGAATTCCCTTCAGATGGAGCTCACGGTGTTTAGTGATGTACTTGCTATATTGTTAAAGACCTGTTTTGTCTGTGTATTAAAGGAATGAAAGTGGTTTGTACCTGCTTTGTACAAATGAGAGGAAAGCCTGCTTAAGTGGCAGAAAAGTTAGTATAAATTTTGAATGAAACATTGGAAGGATTACACCTGAGCTTAGAGCTATGTAAATAAGTGTTTTTTGTTTAGTTTTAAGTATATGCTTAAGTTATTGGACTTACCAATATTTTTGTGTTTGTATAAATATTTTTGGTTTGGGGTGTCCCATATTTGGTTTTACTTTTGGTTTTCTGTAGGTTTACACTGTCCATTTAAGTATACAGTATTTGATTTGTCTCATGGGCCAGATTTTACAGTGCATTGACTTTGTTGGTTGTTTGGTCTGTAGATAGTCTTGCTTCCGCTATTAAAAGAAATCTATAGTGACATTGCTTATTTTCTTTTGTTTTATATATAATATATAAATGTGGTAAAGTTATAAACCACAGTTTTGAACAAATCTCCTGCCATTTTTCATACGAGTCCTCTATATATGTATGCTGTTACAATTTACTTTAAAAGGTGTATAATGCTTAAACCACTTTGGGGGAATAATTATGCCGTTTTCTGACCATATCAAAAAAAGAATGCAAGTGGTTTCCTGAGTAACATCTTGCTTTTCAAATATTGAACAAATAAAGGCTGGCGGACTAGCCTAGATGCACTGATAATTGTAATGTCCTGCTTTGTATAAACTGATCAGTACTCATGCTTCCCTTATAATAAGCAGTGTGCTATGCATTGTATATTTATATTTGCATCTTTTTTTAAAACTAGAAATCAAAACTTCAGTATAGTTGACAAGAGTATATATATGCTGTGATACACATGCTGCTGTGAGTAAGCACATTTTTCATGCTAGACCGCTCAATGCTCTTTACCAGTAAGTTACATTTATGAGATGGCATAAAGTCTTTTCCTGTGTCCTTTTATATGTATTTTTCTGAGTGCAACTTGCATCTTGTAAGGAAAGCAAAAACTTGAATGTAAGGTCGTGCAGCTTATGAAAGCATTGATGGTAAGGCATAAAAATTAGGCTCTACTCCGCCGTGTTTATCAGAACACTTAATGTGAGGTTGGTATTTATTTGAAGTTGTATATGGATTCAGTTCACATCTGTTGGGATAAAATTTCTTCTGTTAAGTATTTAAAAGGATGTACATGTTATTTTCTTTGTGTTTGGATACTTTGTATTTTTTTCATGTTCAGTACATCAATAAACAAGTTGAAGGGAAAAGCAGCTTTTTAAGTTTTTAATTTGACTCTAAATCTTTGTTGTGCAAGAGCAACCATGAATCCAGTATACTTTTAATATCCATTTGAACTTTTGTTGACTTAAGTTTTTCTAAAAATAATTTGCCTTAAAGATGAAAGTACTTTATGAAGAAGCTTTCTGATCACCTAGTTTAAAAAAAATCAATTGAGGATGTTTGTGATTGCAGTCTGAAGTGTTATCAAGTTTGGTATAATCTTGTTGAATAAGGATTGCCTTTCCCTTTGTATGGCCATGAGTTCTGCAAAAAAATTGAGGAAAAAGCAATTGTAAAATTGTGTGGGAGATTCTGCCTGTGATTCATGACTGTCTTGTACCGTAGATACCTTGGTGGTGTGAAAATTGAAATCGTGAGACATCTTTCCAATCAAGTTTTTTTTATTGGTTTTAGGGAATGAGACATTGTGTATAGGAGAAAAATATAAATGAAATTGATATTATATTCCAAATACAAATTGGATCAATACCAAAATGTCTGTCATAACATGCACAAGTTATTAAATGAGTACATTATAATAGTCTATAAATATATTGGGCCCAGAAGGAAATATTAAAATAACATCAGATGCAGTGCAGCTTTTAAATTGCCCTTTCTACTTTGAAAAGCAGGAGGTATTTTAAGCAAATATTAATAGCCTCCACTGGATAACATTGGATTTCTGCAAGCAGCAAGAACAGTTGGAATGGGAAGTGGAGTGTACTTCACCATTGTGTGAAAATTGTGTATAGTAGCAAATTGTTTTGTATGTTGGGCTGAAGTTCTGTTTCCCCCTCAGTTTGCAATAAGGTTGAGACCTCAGGAATTTTCCACCCTGGGAAGCTGATGCAAGTCTGCACCTTAAGCCAACCACCTGCTGGTTATCATGGTCTTATCTCGATGATTAAAGAGGTCCTAATGTTCATATTGGTGATTATATTGCATGTATAAATATACTTCATACTTGTTTCTGCTACACACAGTACTGTAATTATTTAACACTGTGTGTATATATAGAGGTTAATTTTCTTATTTTAACCTTTCTACAAAATGAGTACTTAACAATTCAAAGCTGCTTGTTTTAATATATGGATGTAATGCATTGCTACTTGCTAATTCTATTTTTTTTTTTTTTTCAGAAAATGAGATCATTACCTGGGTTAAAAGTAGCTTCAACACTTTATATTCAACATGGAAGTGCTTTATAGTTACTACACACAGTTGCAGTACTTGGTTATAAACGCATTTCTGAATAGTCACTGCAGCCTCTAATCAGATCAAGAAAGCAAATCTGTATTGGAGTTGACTTAGTGTATGCAAATTTAAAGTAAAAAGTGGATTTTAATGATTTGTAAGCACTAAAATATAAACCTCTTGGGAAAAAGACACTGGCCTATAGTATCAAAAGCTGCACTTGGCCCAGCTTGTAAATGTGTTTAGAAGCAAAAGAGGATATGGTGTATATCTCTTACCTAACTCAGTTGAGATGTTCTGAATGGAAAGTTTTCCATACTGTATGAGTGACATGTCGACATGACAGGAGATGAATATCACAGTAGCAAATGCGCCTTAATGTCTTTTTCATTAACTTTATTAATACCAATACTTTACACTAATGTTTAGACTGTGTGCAGAACCCATAGAAATTCCATGAAGTTGTCATTGATTTTTTAATTCTGTAAATTTGGAAAATAGTTTTTGTCGATCAAGTATCAAAAAAGTATTCTTACAACTTACAAAAACGTACTATTCGGAAGAGTTCTAGCTTAAGGGAATCCTAATAGTTAATTTTTTTTTATTAAAATAAAATTTGAATTGTTAGCCTTCAAAATTCTTGTAAGTGTACTTGGACAGTTCCCTTAGCAAATACAATTTTACTTTTAGTATTTTGGGTTTGCTTGTATTAAGTAGGTGAATCATTGTAGCTTGTCTAGGCTAAGGAATTGTGTACAAGTGAAGTGAGTTTTGCTATTTTTGGTATTGTTATATCAATTTGTTTTTGAGCTGTATTTTGTAGAGATTTTTGAGGCTAAAAATGCAATGATAACATTTTACGATAAAGACCGGAGATATTTATTAAGACTAGGGATATGCCAATGTTTCTGCTAATTCTAGTCACAGTTGAAATGAAAGGGTGAAAGACGGGTTAAAATGTGGCTTATGATGCTAATCTCCATCTTTTTAATGCTCTGTAAATGAATTTATCCTCTGTTCAAGTGGAAGCTGTGTTTTGTGAAAAAAAAAAAGGTGGTGTCCTTGAGTGTTAAGATAACAATGGAATGAAATGGATGTCCTCTTCAGCTCTATAGATGAAAATCAGAACTCTGAATATAGTACTGGTTCTGTCTCAGTCGGTGTAGAGTAGCACTTATTGTAGGTCTGTGCTCTTGCTAATCAAATTGTTTGGGTTTCAGGTACCCGCTGTGGATACTGCGGTTCTATCCTTAAGCATGGTACATGACTTCTGTTTCTTCAATCTACCTATCCATTTTCTAAGCACTTAATTCAGTTCAGGGACATGGGGGAGCTCGAGTCCTGGCACGCAACTGGCATTGTAGTACTGTATATACCTTGGACAGGACACACACATTAGGACCACTTTACCCAAAAGCCATTCTATCAGTATTTTTGAAGTGTGGGAGGAAACTAGAGAGCTCTGTGAAAATCCATGCAAACATGCAGAGACAAACTCCACACACAGCGCTCGAGTCCCCTAATGCTACAAGATGGCAATGCTAACCAATGTGCCACCTTCAATCTTTCCAGCTAAATTACATGCTTGTATTGCTGGAGATAACCCTATGAGGGACTAATTATCCAGGTTGCAAAGTGTTAGTACTGTATATTTGTTTTGCTATTGGAGGTAGGATAATTTTCAATTCTGATTAGCCATTCATCTTAAGTTGAGGATTTATTTACTTTATACTCTGCAGACCACAGTAGGAGAATAAATTAAGTTTCTGCTAAAGATTAAGGTCAATTTTTTTTGTTAGAAACTCAAAACATGCAGTACAACTCGGGCAGCTCAATATAATTGTTTCCTTTAGGTTTTTACTACTCTTATAATTAGCATAGAAAGGAAAACGCACTGATGAATAGCATCTTGATTGTGCTCTTTCAAAGTAGCATGGCACTGAAAGAAATGATAGTTTATAGCTTCCACATATGGAACTAACAGGCACTTTATACTGTACTGAGTTATTGCATTTGTGAGGTACAGTACCTGTTTATTTCCACACTAGAAGTGTCAGTTAGATTTTCAAAAAGATCCGTTCTGGAATTAATGGTTTGAGTGTAAGGAACGGAGCTATTTTCTCCTTTTGTGCAGTGTTAACAGTGAGGATTTTTTGGTTTCATTCCGTTTCCAACAGTTTGAGCCCTGCAAGACAAGTGATTTTGTTTAGTATTGATAGTCTGGAAATTCATTACTTTCCTGGCAAACAAAGCACAACCTGCAGTAAACATTTTTACCCTGTTATTGGAGGCAATTAGCTATAACTGGCACAGCTGCTAGGTGATACAGGCTCCAGCCGAGATTATAAAAGGCCCTGTCTGCTTCATTTAGGCTTTGCAGGCTTGTTTTAAGGCTGCACAGAAAATAAGACCAAAAAAAAAAGAAAAGCTGTTGTTTGAGCAAAACTAGTACTTTGACTTGTCAGCTTCAATCCAGTGGAAATGGGATATTTTGCTTGAGGGGTGCCATGTTTCCACTGTGTCCAGGGCTAGAAATTCTACCATTCGTCTTGGCATATTTTAACCACGAGGGAGTGTAGATTTGAGCTACTGCATTTTGAAAGGAGTAAATCCAAGATAAATTGTTCAGTTCAGCATTTAAAATGTGCTGAATCCTTAAGTAGCCATTACCAATAGGTTTTTTTCTCTCTGCCTGCAGAGGTGGCTGGTGAACTTATACCAAACCTCAATTTGTCTATATACTGTAGGTGTGACACAGCTCCCTTTGTAGTCTCCTTGTAAACACGATGTACAGTAACAGCACATATAAGCTTAATGAGTTCACTTTTGTTTTTTGGGACTTAAGGATGAAGTGATACTGCATGCTTACTAATGCACATTGAACCTGGAATATCTACCTTTGTATATTTTGCCTCCTTGCTGTTATCTGCTTTTATTCTGATGTTCTGCAGCTTTCATTAAGATTGCTTTTCATGTCTGCTGCAGAAGCACAGCAAGGGAATCCATGGCACCATTGTTCTGACTCTTGAGTAAATGGAATCTAGAAAGGTAAAGGCTTTGGGTGGTATTCAATGTTTCCTCTAGTTAACTACTAGATTAGTGTCAAGGTAAAGGCTTTCTTTAGCCCATTGGATCATCGAACCAGAACTTTCCCAATTACTGTTACGTTAATGGAAAGTACCTAACTCCCCTTAGTTCCTAGTCCTTCTCTGGGTTACCCCCAGTGGTGCAAGTATCCATTTATGCATCCCCATTAGGTTAATGTACTTTTCTCAGAGGTACAAAAACGGGAGTCTTTTCATCTTTCTCAATCCATATACACCACTTTGCTTTCCCTCATGTGGATAACTATTTTGCGGTAAACTTTGAAATGCCAGTTTGTTCCAAAGTACAGTGGTAATAACATTTGAGGTGAATTGTATCATCTGCTCAAAGAATCGACCTAGGCAGTAAGCACTTCACTGATTGAATTAGGGGTGATTTTCAGTGTGCAAATCCAAATGGAATTTAGCCAGCTGAGCTAACACTCTCTTAGAGATGGGATCCTTAAACCCGAGTAGTCAGGACTTTCTCCTTGAAGGATAGCATCTTCTAAAACACGTTGGATTCTGACCCAATACTGGGATATTGGTTTTGAATTTCTGGTTCAGGCAGTAAGAGTGTCACCAAATAGCAGCAGCCTCGTTTTCCTTGGAGTTTACCTACAGTGTCACAGAATTG